AGCGTACTCACCTTTGTGTTTCACATTTAGAGATAGAATATGGCTTTGGGTATATTATACTAAGATCCCCTTGTACCCCATATCCTATCTACTTAAGGGGGACTATAGACGTCAAGAAGGGCCTCAACCTGGCATACCCTCGACTGGGTTGCTTCGGAAATCACAGTACGCTACCATAATAAGGAAACCCTATTATCTACTACATACCCATAATAAGGGGTCTTTACTTGAGTTTCTTAACAGCTACCCAGTTCAAGCCTGAGGCCTGCACTCCAAGATCGATGGAGCTGGTGACAGCAAAGCCTCGGAAAAGGTCGAAGCGCTTGTGAAGGCATTGGACTGAAGCTCTCGAAACTATGAAGAAGCATAGATTAGTAGTAAGAAACTAATAATATTCATAATAATACTAGTAGTATCAATAATACTCATAATAGCAATAACAGTAGTAATAGTTAAAGGTAATAAGAACAACCATACTAACGATAATAATTATGAACAGGTGTGGGCTTCCTCCCGGCCCAAAGAGCCCTGCAATTCTGCACAAGCCAACCTGGATGCGCTACCGGCCCAAACCTTCCCCAAAGTATAACTAGTATAAGAACACAAAAGGATAATAGGATGATTGTTTCATGGTATAATCGGATGATGGTATAATAGTGTGATGGTATGATAGTATAATCGGATAGTGGTATAACAGTACGATAGTATGATATGGTATAATATCATAGTATAGTAGCATTTACGACAGTTGCTTGATGACAGGCTCCGTTCATCCATGCAAGCTGCGGATTTCTGTTGTCGCGGCAGGCCGTGCAATCTTTAGGGTTTAGGTATCAGGGATATATCGGGGGTGGTATTGGGGCGAGATTGGATAGCATGGTATATGTGAACTTGTCATGCCACGCTGCAAGGCAACAAAGAACATCTTGGCTCTGCGTGTGCTCCAAGTAGCTCCAAGCCACTAGCGACAGGTCGCGTGCTTGCAGGTCCTGCAATCATGATTGAGGGTGCAAACGCCTGCATCGAGCCCAGGCAATAGGCAATTGCCGCGAAGGACAAAGTAGTACCCGCTCAACAGAAGCACATAGAAGCATGCAAAGAGTGTGCTGTATGAAGTTGTGCCCTTCCCTTACAGCACGCTTCCAGCTTCCACGAGTCTGAATGCCGTGCGGTCAAGACCCCCCTCCCAAACTTGCAACCTTCCAAACCGCTGCAATCAAAGCCCCAATCACCATCGTGATTTTGCAGCAGTACAATACTCACCTCTTGCTACTTGACTACTCTTGGCCACTCTCCCTCATTCCTACACCCCAAGCCTTAAACCTCACCCTGAACCCGACCCTGGTCTTCTGCTATCCGCCTGCCAGCCCCGGCCCCGAAGTGCTGCTGCAGCCACTGGGGCCGTGCTGCCCAGTGCTGAAGCTGCCCAGAGCAGCTGGACCAGCTCAGCCGTCCTCCCGTTGCAAATTAGAACGGCTCAAGGGTTTAGGCGTTTAAGGCTTAAAGGTCTAGGGGTTGAAGGGCGCAAGGTTTGAGAAGGGCGCAGGATGCTAACGGATTTGGATTAGGCTTGAGACTTTGCTACACCCCTGGCAACCTCCATGGCATGCCCACCGCGTCTATATAGAGGAGAAGCCGGGATCAGCAAGCCGAATACGATCAGCCGCAGTTGTTGAACGAGGGCCATTTTGCAGGACTAGTCTTTGGGGCTCGGACTTTGCTGCAGAAGCCAGGAGAGAAAGGGCAAGTCTAGAAGCCGCTCTTCGTGTCACTGGAGTGTCATGATGCCCATTCCGGGACTCGCTGAGAAGTGCTGGAGAGTGCGGGCTCTGCAAGCACAATAGGGTTTAGGGTTTAGGGAGCAAGCTGCCTGGAGTTCCAAGCTTACACCTTGAGATGATCAGGAACAAAGAAAAAGCAAAACCTTGCAGGCTTCAGCAATGCTGTCACCAGCGAAATCTAGGTCGATGGGATAAGGAATACACAATGGTGAACTTAAGCTCAACCCACGGCTTCAGTTCTGTGCAGGAGGAATGCCGCAGCCTCCATGACGCAAACTTCTGCTCGGCACGGGCAGAATCCTGCAGCTTTGTTTCTAGTGGCTTCGCTTTAGTGGCTTCAATCAAGAGCTTGCCTGTCAAAATACGCGTTATCGAAAGGCAGCTGTGAAGAACCAACAGAGCGCTTCTTGCAAGTCCCAACGTGGATCACATTCGCATCCTGAAGCACGGCTTCCATCTTCACTCCTTGGACACATGCGGCTTGCTTCCCAGATGCTTTGGCTTGACATCGCCATACACGGTCTAACAATTGAGCTATAATCTAAACCCCCACTATCATACTCCCCTATATAATCCCGTATATAACGAAGGAGTTTAGGCTATAGCTCAAATGCAGTCATGAGGCTGTCAGAAGCTGTGCGAAGGAGGGTGTCCTCAGATGATTGTGAGTGGGCCTAGCGCCGCTTCGTAGCACTTGTTGGTGCTGATGCCTGCTGAATACGAACTGGTAGCGGCTGTTTGTAAAATAAAGCTTTACCGAACAAGCCCCACAATGACCTATGTTATCCAATAATTGCGAATCAAAATGGACAAGAAAAATTGGACGATGCACCGGAAACCATGCTTGAAATAGAACGTGCTCAGGATGTAGGAGCTTTTTAAATTGCTCCACTAGAACTCCCTTTTGCGTTCGAAAGGAACGCTAAACCTCCTAAGGGTTATAGCCCTCGAGTTAGACCCCTAAGACCCTGAATTAGGGTTTAGGGTTTAGGGTTGAGGGTTTAGGGAGCCCAAAAACTCCAAAACCTACCCTAGATTCGTCACCCTAAACCCCAAAAACCCTACACCTAAAGACCCAACACATGGCTCGAAAGGATTTTTCGGCCCTAGTTAGGGTACCCAGAAACTTGGCACTTGGAGGTTACCAAAATTAGGTGTACTTGTTTCTGGGAATTTATAGGGGGATATATAGGGTTATATAGGGTTTAGGGCTTCCCAAAATTAGTGGTATTTCTTGGGGGGCCCTCATAATGAGGACTATAGTATGTGGTGGGTCCTTGTTGGAATTCCCCCCCCTATTTGGGGAAACTACCATTTAATCCCTATACACTATATATACTGGCGTTCATTTCATTTTCCATTGTCTTTTCCATTTGATTCTCAGTTCTTGGGGCAATATCCCTATGAACCCTAAACCCTAGACCCTAATCCCAATAAACCCTAAACCCCAATCCCAATAAACCCTAAAACCCTAATCCCAATAAACCCTAAACCCTAATCCATATGTGGGGAAACTGTCACTTTGCAATTGGGCGACCAAACCTGCTGGCCACTCCGGAGCAGGCGTGCTGCGAAAACGCTGTGCACAGGCCGTTAGAGCAGCACAGAGTCCCTGGTGCATTTTAATGGTTTAGGGTTTAAGGTTTAGGGTTTAGGGTTGAGGGTTTAGGATCCAGGATTTAAGGTTTAGGATTCAGGGTTTAGGGTCTAGAGTTTAGGATTCAGGGTTTAGGCCCAGTAGGGAATGCAACTACTGCATTCTTGAGGGCGTAGGGTGGTTGTGGTGGCGGGTAGAGAATGGAAAGCACCTTGAGTAAGCGACTGTTACTTTCTGGTGGTTGTGTGGGAAAGGAGGCGGGAATAGCAAGCACAACACTTTTAGGGGTTCCGCGGCTTTTGCATTCACTGGGGAATGGAAGAATGAATGAAAAACAACTGGAAATTACTATAGGGTTTGGGGTTGGGGGTGGCTGGCAGGGAATGGAGGAATGCAAAGGAAATGGAAACTGCTGCACTGCTTACGTGTTTAGGCTCAGGGCTTCTTGAAGTACTCAATAATAGTCGGAACCAGAACTTTTCACAGAAAGCCTTCACAACCCCCCCCTTCCCCCAATTTATCCCTGCAGTGCGCCCTTAGACCGCCCTCCAAACCCTGTGAACCCTACATTAGCCTATATAACCCCCACATCTACATAGGAGCCCGTCGACCCTGCCTGGGGCTCCATCTCGGGTGCTTGGGCGCCGGCCGCCGCCACAAGCGCCTTCCACGCCGAGGGGTCACCCCCCAGGCGGCCGAGAGCCCACAGCAGGTTCGAGGTGTCCTGGTCATTATACTGGGGGTTAAGTAGGGTATAAGTCCTCATAATGGGGCTATAAAGAGATAATGAGAAAGAACATGGAAATGGGGTATAGGGTCTAGGGCTTAGGGTTTAGGGATTTTACTAGCTGATACAGAACCTCAAACAAGACTCTGCCGTTTCAAAACAAGGCTGTATGAGTCTGTACGCAAAAAGAGTACTAATAATGCATGGTGTTGGTTCCGGTGTTGGTGTTGGTGTTGGCGTAGAATGGTAACAGTGGCAGCAGCAGCACCAGCAGCAGCAGCAGCAGCAGCAGCAGCAGGAGCAGCAGGAGGAGGAGGAGGAGGAGGAGTAGTAGTAGTAGTAGTAGTACGAGGAGGAGGAGGCTCCTACGCGTGCCAAAGGAACCGGGTTAGGACAGCCAAGCAGGATTCAGCCTTAGACTTTTTGTTTGGGGCTGCCACCAGATT